TACATGTTTTAATAGTATTTTTACAGTGTCATTGCTTGTGCTTTATTCCTGTATGAGCCTTGTATAAATACCAACCTAGGGGCAGGCATTGCAATCTATAAATGCTGTGGTATGTGGCATTGAACTGTTAAATACTTGTTGGTATAAAAAGAAACATTTCATGAACTGCAAAGGCAGCATTAGAAGACAATGGTGGAAGCGAACTCTTTCAGGGTATGCTTTCTTTGGTTCTGATCCACACGAGTGAAGTTAAGAAAAGTCTTGCAAAGAATTTCACATTCATTCAAATTGTGTAGTCTAAAAAGTGTACAAATATTTACAATACAAATATTTCAAAGTGCTTTTGATAATCTGAATTGAAGAATAAACATATCACACAGTGTTATAAATCAGCAGATAAATACCAGTACATACAGTTACATTCTCTATATTACTACTGTGTAGCCAGATCATGACCGCATGTCGAGTGCCCTTACATTGCCCTTTTTACCAGAAGTCAATCAGAGTTCTTCCTTGATTTTTTAACCATTTAACGTGTAGTAAAGGCTTTTTGTGTCTTTGAGAAATCCGACAACAATGAATGTAAAGAATGAAGAATTATTACACTCTACAGCTCAACAGTGCTTTGGCCATGGTTGCTGTCAGTAACTGTCCTTGGAGGGGTCTAGAGCTTAATCTGTGATTCAGAGTTGGAAACAATGAGGTGATTGAACAGCTTGCTGGTGCTAGATTAGCATTGTCCTTTGCTATTGGGGAAACTGGCAAGTAAAATTCAATAAAGAGGCCTTTCGGCAAAGCAGACCGAATTTCAATTTATGAAGTGTTAACAAGATATTACACAAAAAGCTACAAAAAAATCTAATCAGGAAAGAAAATGCTTGGCTTTAAGGGTACTTTTCACACATGCTTTGCTCAAGGGCACTTTGGAAGGTTAATCTCCCAATCACCACTGTGAAATTTAGGGGATCATGTGTACAAGCCAAAGGGTATATTAACAGAGCTCATGATCTACGTCCAGTCTGTGGCCAAAAAACACACATCAACAAACATTAGTGCCTTAGCCCAAAGCATGTTGGCTGAAAATGTTCATACCAAGCTTCTTTAAAAAAAAAATGTCCTTCACTATACTAGACTCCCCAGGATGAAGGAAATGTGTACCCTCCTCACAGGTACTTTGGGAAAAAATAAATCTACATTTCCTGGTTTCAATGTGAAGTATGGAACATTAGCAGACAGAGAAAAGCTCCCTTGGCAGTGGTTTTCCATGTTTGGTTGCACCCAAGTAATGAACATGCACTTTAAAAGATGTTTCTTTTTCAACATTGCTCCTTTTCTGCTCCACTATTTATTTTCAGTTTGTTTACACCATCATTGGCCAACTTATTCTACTGCAAAAACAGCTCACCTTCATTAGAAAAATATTCACATCAAGTAATTGACTGAGTTAATGAATTTTAAATCCAAATCAATTTGTTTTTTAGACTTGTATCTATTTCCTGAAGTAGGGCACTAGTGTCAAGATGAAGTCACTTGATTTTTTCCTCAAAATTTTGTCTCACCCAACTTCTTTCCTTCTCTTAATTACATGGAAATGGGAGCTTATGGGTCTGTATCAGAGTAAATAACTTAAAATGTGCTATGTAGCATAATTGTTTTTTTGTTATTGAAAGCCACATTCGAAGAAGGCATTGTTTCAACAATGCTTTTTTAAAAAGGCATATGAAAAGTCTCCTGAGTGTCCAACGCCAAATATCTTCCACCTATTAAAATCACCCTTTTACTAGACCTCTACAAATTAAACCATGTCTTCAGTCAACATGTCTGAGTTTTCTGTTTGTCAGAACAAACTGTGGTATTTATTCTGGGTTGAAAGTATTGCAAATGTAGAGCAGTGGATTAAAGGTGAGGGGATTTTTGCTGCTGTGAAATGCTCTGCATCCAGGAAATATAATAAGTGTTGGAGCTAGACACTTCACATTGGGCCTGACTTATTGATCTGCGCAAACAGAGCATATGCTGCTGCAGAGGTTAAGAAGAGGAGGAACCAAGAGACAGACTGAAAGAAAGGTAGACTAAAAGATTAAAAGTTGGAGGGAATGAAAACAGAAAACCTTGTCCTATTAGTCATTATCCTATAGTTTAGCATGTATAATAGGGTGGGGGAAGTTGCTGGTCTAGTCAACAGGACTGAGGATCTTTGGGTGGTTTGACAGCTAAGGCAATTACAGTGACACTGCTGCAGGCTGAAACCAGCTCTGACGGGCAGGCACATACTGTGCATTCAGAAATTCTTCAGACCCCTTCACTTTTTTGACATCTTATTATGCAGCAGCCTTATGCTAAAATCACTTGAATTCATTTTGGTTCATGTCATCTATCTACACTTAATACCCCATAATGAATAAGCAAAGACAAAATTTTAGTATCCTTCGCCAATTTATTAAAAAGGAAAAACTGAAATATCAAATTGACCTTAAGTATTCGGAGCCTTCACTCAGGACCTTTGGCAGCAATTACTGCCTTGAGTCTTTTTGGATTTGTGGATTTTCTGCCATGCTTCTCTGCAGATCCTCTCAAGCTCTGTCAAGTTTGATGTAGACCATCGGTCGGTGGACAGCCATTTTTTAGCCACTCAAGGACACTCACAAAGTTTTCTCCAAGCCACTCCTGTGTTGTCTCGGTTGTGTCCTTAGGGTCATATTCATGTCACAAGGTAAACCTTCGGCACAGTCTGGGGTCCTGAGTGCTCTGGACATTTCTGTACTTTCCTCTGTTCATCTTTCCTACAACCCTGACCAGTCCCCCTGTCATTGAAAAACACCTCCACGTCTTGATGCTGCCACCAACAAGCTTTACTGTTGGGATGGTATTGGGCAGGTTATGAGTGGTGACAGATTTCCTCCTGACATGCCACTTAGAATTGAGGCCAAACTGTTCAGTCTTGGAGTCTGAGTGACCTTTAGGTGCTTTTGTCTTGATACAATCCTGTCTTGGGTTTTGCTGAAATGTCAGCTGTGAGACCTTATTTTATAAAATTTGCAGCAGACATAATTTGAGGACAACTGTTGAACTTCTTGTTGTCCCATATACTAATATATGGGACAACAAATTCCTTTAGCTCCATTGCCCCTTCCCCTCATATAATTGAACCATGTATCATATCTTCTGATGATCAACAAAGTAAAATACAAGATCACATCACATCGACTTTAGTTTCCATCTCTAAGTCGCTCTGTCAAATACATATACAATCATTCAATATGAACACACATAGCCATATCAAATTTCTGCTCATGCCCCTTCATACTTGTGCTTTTTCATGGTGCAGATAGCAGGAGTCTGCCGCTAAGACGTTATCTTCGCAATTGATTATTATTAGAGAACACTGTCTTCCCTACCTCTCTGCTTTCAATTCCTACATTATTCCTCCCTTTCTCTCTCATGCCAGCAATCTCCAGCCCACTCCTCTCCTTCATTGATCTGTTTTGACCTTCAGTCATGACAAGGCCATTTTATACAGCCTCCATATTTGTCCAACCTGACAAGATAAGCGGGACAGAAATACATCAACATGAAAAGGTTTTTATCTTAATTCATTTAGG